TTTCTGGAATAAACCTACACTTGGTCATAATATATTATTGTATTATGTGCTGCCAGATTCTGCATACCAGTAAACTTTCTAGGATTTTTTGGATTGATGTGAGTATTATGAAGGAGAAATTTATTTAGTGGCATTTGTTAAAGATGGCTGGGAAGACTTTGTTTAAAGGTAGGGACTATTGCAGTAGGCATAGGGACCACAACAATGGGATCTTGCAGTGTGGGAGAGAAATCGAGCTTAACTCTGAATACAACAAGGAAAAGTGGGAATTTATAGCCAAGAAGCAGGTGGGAATACGTGGATGGAAAATGACTAAGAAGAAACATGAGGATAAGGGGTGGGGGAATCTGGCTAAACTAACCTGGCAAGATTCTTGCCGAAGGCAGGCCATGGTGATCGGGGATGGTGGAGGTTAAGGATCCTCACTTGTGATCAGGTATGTGATCAGGTGTGGAAGATAGGGGTTTCTGGCTAAACCATTTTACTAAAACGCTTGATAAAGTTGGACCACAGAGAGATGAACACAAAAGAAGCCTGAAAGAGCTCATAAGAGCTGCTTAGTCCGGTCAGGACAGAGGATCTTTGTCTATATGGTGTTTAATTTTATTTTTGTGAAATTTTTGCATTTTGGACCCTGTGATAATTGCTTTAAAAAAAAAAAGGCTTTGAACATTTTCCTTCCTTTTTATAAGTCCCCAGGGCCTCTGAAGACACAAATTTCTGCTTTCAAGGAATCCCCATCTTCATTGTCATGATAATAACTATCATTAACTAAGCTCTTTCTATGTGTTAGGCACCGTTACAGGTTAATCATCACTAAGACCCTTGTGCAGCTAGGTACTGTGATTTTTTCCCCCCATTTTGCAGGTGAGGAAACAGATGTGCATACGTTAAGCACTCACCTTATATAAGCAACTAGCAAGCAAGATGTAATTCCAGGCTTTAGAGTATATGCTTTTGTGTCGAGAAATTTAGTTTGATATGAAACCAAATTGTTAAAAAGATGGCAGGGGTAAATTATTATTTTTGTTCAAGACCCTTACATGATTTCCTGTAGGATCATCCTGGCTTATTAAATTTTATTTTGTGGAAATTTGCATTGCAGAAATGAAGCTCGCTATGACTTCATTCTAGAGCAGTGTGGCTTGCAAGGTGGAGGTCTTCTAATAAAAATGTGAGAATTGGGATTTATCAAACAGCGATTATGGAAGAATTATTTGCATTACCAAAAACTCTAGCACTTTATAAAGGATTTCAGTAGTAGATTTCCTTAAACAGTAAGCTGTTGCAATCCTTCACCTCAGGGCATTTGAAATATTAAGAGAATTAGATGTAATCAGTCTGCAACACAGTATAGGCTTAACTGTATTCTACACAAATTTGCTGAAATGGACATTTTAATTATATACATTTTCTGAATGAAGAACTAGTGGGTTTTGGCACATATGAATAGAATGTCTGACAAAGCTACAGTGTATGTATTTCCAGGCTACTACAGATCTGCAGAGTTTCGAGTACAGAACTGAAATAGAAATTTTGGTTTTTAGTTGTTTTATTTTTCCATGTTTGTGTTCCAAATCGAGCGCAAAGACTGCTGAAATACATGAATGTTGGGAGTTTCTAATGAGTAGTGAATGGCCTCCTATCTGCCCCCGTTCCCGACATCTGTTCTAATTTGTATCTGGCTGTCACAGCCTAGGCTTTATGCAAAATGACTGATCATAACAAAAATTACTTTTAAATTGCTCTTATAACCATATATCTTGGATCATGGCACTATCTCTGGCTTCCACGCATGCTATTTTTCTAGTATTTCAGGCCTTTTTTTTAAGCTGCTGAGGCAGAATTGAATTAATATGCATCAAGGAAGGAAGTGAAAAGCTAAGAGACCCTGCCACAGTGAGGGTAACTTAAGAAAAACAGAGATTTAGTTTTGGTTTCTAGAAGTAAATTCAAGACAGCATATGATTTGCACAGTCAAGTTAAAAATAAATGCAAGGCCCTTGTTTCAAAAAGCGGGAGAAAATTATCATTAAAGATCCTAAAATATTTCCTTCCACAGGTTCTCAGCTTGTGATGGTGTTATTTTATTTGCTATCCAATGGCATTAAGTAAATTAAAATTTTAAATTATTAACCTAAATTTTGCCATTTATCTTTACATCGTGCAAGGCCAGTTTTAAAGGCCAATATGGGCCTTCAACACCTAAGCAGAATCACAGATCACAAAATTTGTAATTTGTCATTGATACGTTCACATGTATCTCCTTTTTACCCAAAGAATGGAAATGCAAAATACTAACTCTCTGTCCTTCACTTCTTGACATGTGGACATTCTATAACTCTGCCTTTGGCTTACTTATGAGTGAGGAAGAAGGGAAAGGCACGGGAACTGGGGGTTGGTCCAGCTTCCCTTTTTCTTCAAGATAGTCCTTTTCGGCATAAGTGGTTGGCAAATACGGAGAACTAACAGGAGCAATAGGGGATGCTATAGTATTGCTTGGTCGTTTGGGTTACAATGCCATTGCCTTCTGCATGGAAGTGACTTTTGGTTTGCTTGAACAGTGAGTGTGTCCTCACAGGTCCCCTCTATGCCCTCTTCCTCAGCCAGAGATGCAGTATGCTTGCTCTGTTTGACCTTGGAGTCTTGCTGAACCCCCATGTGTCCTGGGTCCCTGGGAATGCTATGCTGAGAAGGCATCTCAACCACTATGGGTGGGAAAGAAACTGCAGCCTATCTATTGTTCTGGCTCCTCTGCTCCCACACAGGCTTTATTGGCCCTTCATTGCCCTTACCAAACTCAGCTGCAAAGATAAAACTATTAAGAATTTCAGCACGCTGACAGCAGGGCATTAAACCAAGCATGGGACGCTTCTGAACATGGGGCCCTGTGTGACAGGGCATGTTCCCTGCCCATGAAGCTGACCCTGCCTTGGTGACCTCCTCCACAAATGTGCCATAGTAGTGTGTATCAAGTAGGATTGCCATGAGGAGTAATTAGTCACAAATGTAAAGTGTTTTTCGTAAGTGCCCTACACGAAGAAAGTACTGACTGTGTGGTGCATTCTTAATACTTATATTACTTTAGATCCCAAATACAATCAGGGAATGTATTATATTCGTACTAGGGACCTTTGATTTAGGTTCAATCTTCCTTGTCTAAGCTCCACTAAGCAAGCTATGCCTTCAAACACGAGACTCTGAAACATAATGAACATTCCTTTAACCATGTTGTGCTCATGAGGCAATCATCAGAAAGGAGAAAAAGCTCTGAGGTCGGTTCGAGAGGTTACCTGGTTTCCTTTATGCGGTATAGTTACTGTAGCAGGTTATAGCAAATAAGGCTGTATGGGGTGTCCAGTAAAAGACAAAGTCTCAAGTCATTGAAAGGGCCCAAATTGCCAGGTTGTCTCCAGCTGAGGATGAGGTCAGCTCCGTAAAGCCTTGAGCAGAGAAGGCCTCTGTTCCAGATTCATAGAGGCAAGACATTTAAACCCAGAATGTAAACAAAACAAAGATGTAAGTTCTGTCTGAGTGAGCAGGGGTGAACTCTTGTTGACTACAGCATCCAAATGAAATTGGATGCAGAATGAACTTCAGGATGCAAAGTTACTGAAGAAATATTGTAGATAATAGTCACCAACCAGTTCAGTAGAAGTGCTTATGAAATGCTATTCAGTATGCCCAATTGTATCTGGCTTATTTATGTATATTTAAATCAACCATCTTGGAAATATCAATTCAAAAAAGAAGATGATTTGATAAATTATTAGCTCCTGATTTAGTGCATACTGATGGTTTAAACATCATTTTATTTAAAACCTAAATTTTTTAAAAAAGATTTTACTAATTTATTTTTATACAGAGAGCGAGCACACAAGTGGAAGGGATAGGACAAGGGAGAGAGAATCTCAAGCTGGATCCATGCTGAGGGCAGAGCTGCAGGGCTTAATCCCATGACCCCGAGATTATGACTTGAGCCAAAACCAGGAGTTGACGCTTAACCAACAGCACCACTGAGGCGTCCCTAAAGCCTAAATATTTTTTTAAAGGTTTCATTTATTTATTTGAGAGAGCGTGAGCAAGAAAGAAAGCACAAGAGGAGTGGAGAGGCAGAGGGAGAGAGAGAGAAACAGACACCCCACTGAGCAGAGAGCCTGAAGTGGGACTTGATCCCAGGACCCTGAGATCATGACCTGAGTCGAAGGCAGATGCTTAACCGAATGAGCCACCCAGGAGCACCAAAGCCTACATATTTTTTTCCCATGTAAATACACATTTATTTATTTTTTTAATTGGCATATAATGTGTTATTTGTTCAGGGATATAGATCTGCAAATCATCAGTCCAAATATTTTTAAAAGAGATTCTCTTTTATTTTCCATTGGCATCTTGTAGACGAAGAGCATATCACCTGAAATTGTAACTTTGTTAAACATTGCTCACAAAAGTGATTGGCTGAATATGATAACAGGCTGAGAGATTATGCAAATAGGATTAAAATAAAGAGGACATTATGAATATTCATATTACTGTGGAAGTGAGCAGTTTCAGATCATAAGGCAGCTGAGGTCCTGTTGCATCTCATGGGTCTTAGGCAAGTATGATTTACCTTCCCTGTTTCTGAAGCATCAGGATGACTTCTATGAATAGTAGGATGACAAAATGGGTATGAGCAGATTTTTAAAAAATCTCTTTGCAGTGGGAAGGCTTGATGAAAATGTGGCACAAAAATCTGTGTCTAGCAAGATTCAAGACCTCTCCCTGACTCCCATCCATTTGGTTTTGAAAATCTGGATTTAATTTTCATTTCAAAAACTTAATGGACTAAATTGTCTCAGGGAGTATTAACTTCACACATTCCTGGGTCCTCTCATCCATGGGTGCGATGGTTACAATGATTAAGGCCTGGGGAACATTGAGTCAGGACATGGGTTTGCTGTCGTGAACATTGCTCCCTCTCAGAGAATTTTACTGATAAATAATGTTATTGTTTCCAGATGCGGAGCCTAAATATCTGATTGTTGTGCGGCCTGCTCCCCCTCCGAGTCAGAAGAAGTCATGCTCAGGTATATTTTGTTCATTTTTCAGATTTTATTAACTTTAAACCATGTTTTGTCATTTCTACCCATGGAAACCAATTCCTTGGGGATGAGTTAGGAATGTAGATTAGAACATGTAACACAGCAGGCCCCATGTCAGCAGATAACCCAGCTTGCAAGTACCATGATCTGGTTGTAGAGACTGCTTGGGATCTTATCCCAGCACCACTACATACAAACCTGAGGAATTTTAGACAAATTACTGAACTTCTCAGTGCCTCCTTTCTCCTGCACACCAGGGTTGTCGTGAGGGATAAATGAGTTCATGCATGTGTGGCCTTGCAGGATAGGGCCTGCCCCATAGTATGTGCTCACTTAGAGTTAACTCCTGTTAGCCTGAATCTACTTTGCAGTGTGTCAACTTGGGCCTTGTCTGGTGTTTTCCAGATTTTAAGGGCAAAATCTGATGTCTAGCCTTCGTTGAAGGAAACTGTTCACATTTTAAAAGCATCACTCCTTTCTGTGCATGGTAAATGGGTTGGAACATGGGTTCTACTTTACTCCTCCTCTTTCCTCCTTTGGACCCTCTTCTATTCAGTCCAACATGAGAGCAAGGACCGCTTTTCTAGAATAGCAACACAATGCCGAGACTCCTAGGGAGAGGGAGACTGGAAATAGGAAAGTAAATAACCTACGGATAAATGAGTAGAAACATTTTCTACATGACTAAAGAAAGATTAAAATCTTACATTGTCCCAATTTCACTATTAAAATTTCTTCACAGATCAAATAAGTAGGCCATTGTGGTCAGAACCTAAAAAAGATGGGACTAGGCCTTTACCGTCCAATCTCACATCTCCCTGACTGTAAATTATTGATAAAAATGTTTCGCTTTTCTTTGGCATTTACTATTGTGAACTGGTCTTAGTATTTCCTAATCATGTTTATCTTATGTAGTATACTAGATGTCAAGCAAAAGGGATCTCTTTCATTTGTTCTGTGTTTCTAGAGTGATGAAATGGGTTGGGGGAGCACACAGATCTTCAAATACATGTAGCAAACAGGCCCTTCGCAGCTGTGAATTGTGTCTTCCGGAGGCATTAGCCAAGCCTGTTACCAGAAATTTGTTGCCACGGTCCCCTCCCCTCCTTCTGTTTGTTTTCACTTCTTTTTAGGGACTCAGTAAGCATTTTGAAAAATACAAATTCCTTTTCCTGGCCTCCCAAATTCTCCCACAGTGGGAGGGAAATTTCAGTGACTCCTTATAACTTATAATGAAACTTTATTTCAAGACTTTATTTCAAAATATTTAATAAAGTCAGGAAGTATTAGTATGGGCCCAAGGGATTCTGGCTTCATGTTCTCAGCAAACTATTTCTCAAGACAAACATAAAGAAATGTGTAAGGGACATCAAAAGAGGGATTACACCTTAGTCATGCTTTGTAACTTCATTTGGGAACTTCTAGGACACTGGCCTTGAAATTATTTTTCCCTTTGTGATGACCAGCTCAGGAAATTGTTTCATCTTGATCAGGATATAATGCCCCACCTTTCCTCTCAGGCAACGGATGTAATTTTTTTGTAATCTGTATTTGAGAATGATACAATGACTAATGCATTAACTTCAATTCAATTTATATCTGCATCTGCCACATAAATTTTAATCACTTTTATGTTAAAATCCAAATTTAGTGAAATAATTGTTTTATGGTCATGTAAGCCTTAGGTTCCCTTGGAGAAAGGAAAATGTATATTTTGTCTCTAAATGGCATAATCTTCATATATCGTATGTCAATGATGTAGTAAAAAAAAAAAAAAAGAAAGATAAGAAAGGAAAAAAACTAGATTACAGTTCAGAAGAGAGAAATATAAGTCTTGACCTTGCTCTTGGTGTGACCTTGAAACTTCTCTGGGCCTTATTTTGCATTTGTAAAATGAGATAGTTGTATTACTTAGTGAAAACTAACTCAGGAGTGGAAAAAGGAATATCAGAATCCCTTCAGGCCTTTGTCAAACTACATAAATCCCTTAGCCTCACCAGGTTCTATTCTACCCTTTTGGGGAGTCAGACTTGTGTTCTTGGAATCATGATCATACAAGGTAGCATTGCAGGTGGAGCTGGAAAATTTTATGGAAAAAGATAAAAGCACATTTGCAAGCAAATGAACAACTATCCTTGACAGTTATTTTAGATAGCTTTTTAAAAATTCAGTTGTGTTATGGTGAGTGCTGTGAATTGTGTAAGACTAATGAATCACAGACCTGTATCCCTGAAACATATAATACATTATATGTTAGTTAAAAAATTTCAGCTGTGTTACCATGAAGCAGTTGGCCATCACTAGGCTTATATGTTCTGGGATGAGAAGGTTTTTCCACCAGAATAACAACTCAAAGAACTTAAATCTACCAGAAGCAGCAACGATGGCACAATTTTAAAGGACATTTGGTTCAGGTAACTTCCACTAAGCTCATACAAGAGGTACCTTCCTACCCATTAGTTCCTACCACATTAGATCAAAATAACACAAGTTATTTTGCAAGTTATTATAGCAAATACAAGAGGCATGGTCTCATGAAATGAAAGACAGAATCCAGTGGAAATAAAAAGAAGGTTTTAACTTTGGAGAACAGTGTGGAGATTCCTCAAGAAATTAAAAATAGAGCTTCCCTATGACCCTGCAATTGCACTACTGGGTATTTACCCCAAAGATCCAGATGTAGTGAAAAGAAGGGCCATCTGTACCCCCATGTTTATAGCAGCAATGGCCACGGTTGCCAAACTGTGGAAAGAACCAAGATGCCCTTTAATGGACGAATGGATAAGGAAGATGTGGTGGTCCATATACACTATGGAGTATTATGCCTCCATCAGAAAGGATGAATACCCAACTTTTGTAGCAACATGGACAGGACTGGAAGAGATTATGCTGAGTGAAATAAGTCAAGCAGAGAGAGTCAATTATCATATGGTTTCACTGATTTGTGGAGCATAACAAATAGCATGGAGGACAAGGGGAGTTAGAAAGGAGAAAGTTGAGGGAAATTGGAAGGGGAGGTGAACCATGAGAGACTATGGACTCTGAAAAACAATCTGAGGGTTTTGAAGGGGTGGGGGGTGGGAGGTTGGGGGAACCAGGTGGTGGGTATTGGAGAGGGCACAGATTGCATGGAGCACTGGGTGTGGTGCAAAAACAATGAATACTGCTACACTGAATAGAAATAAAAAATTTTAAAAAAAGGTTTTATGTTCTGCATAGTTTTATTTGATATCTTATTGCACTTTTATGTTATGTACAGACTTTTTTTCTAAGCCAATGTTGGTTTCTGTGGCAAAGGATCTTCATTGCTCTTTTTCACTGATCCCATTCCTGAAGTTCCAAATATTTTTGAAAATGCAAATACTGCTCCCCCCAATATACTGGAAAAGAATCTAAAGTGGTTTGTTATCATCACTTGGTATTGCCCAAATCTGATTCGTCCCATCTAAACAAATGTTCTTCCTATGTCATCCCTAGTCTTCCAACAGTATTAGGAATGTATGAAAAAGAATGTATATGCATTTTCCATTTAGACACTCACTTCAAGAAAAGGAGGTGGCTTATAATAATAGTATGGTAAGAGATTTTACACTTCTAAACTGGTTTTAAAATAGAATATAACCCACAAGCCAGATGTTAAGCTTTCTTTTTTCATCTTTGATATCCTTTCACACTATTCATAGTCTTGGGAAAAGGGGGAGAACAAACATGCTTTTATTGTATCTGTAAAAGAAATGAAGTGAGCAACACATTTGCATTATTTATTTCATTGGTAATAGCCACAACTTTCATAGCTATCCCTAACCCATAAGAAAATAAAACCTAGGGGCACCCGGGTGGCTCAGTGGGTTAAGCCTCTGCCTTCGGCTCAGGTCATGATCCCAGAGTTCTGGGATCGAGCCCCCCCATCAGGCTCCTGCTCAGGAGGGAGCCTGCTTCCCCCTCTCTCTCTGCCTGCCTCTCTGTCTACTTGTGATCTCTCTCTCTGTCAAATAAATAAATAAAATCTTAAAAAAAAAAAGGAATACCTAGGTATGATTGCCTATAATTTATATGCATGTACTACCCATATACGCATACATATATATGCATAAACATACGCACATAAATTTCAAAATGACATTTTGTTTGGTTTCTGCTTAAATTTATGGGCAAAACATTGATAATATTTGTGTACTCCATCAGAAGAAAAGAAACTTGATGCTTTCATGCTCTTTATCATCTTCCTAAATCCTTATTGTGCATTCTACCCCAATCATAAAAATCTACTGTGTTATCAGAGTTAACCTGCATGTTACCTCCCTAGGTAAATCACGCTCTCGCAAACCTCTCCAGCTGGTGGTTGGCACTCTGACACCAAGCTCCGTATTCCTGTCCTGGGGTTTCCTCATTAATCCACACCACGACTGGACATTGCCAAGTCACTGTCCCAATGACAGGTAATTCATCCTAACAAAGGATTTATTTTACCTGAAAATTCGCTCTTGCTTTTAGTAGGATCTGTACATGCTTTGGAAGAATGTCTACGTATATGAGGTATCAGCACATATTGATCACTGATTAGCTCTATAGCTTGTTCTGGGTATCAGAGGAAGGAAGATACTAAGTGAGGGTCCCTACCCTTGAAAGAGTCATCACCGAACTGAACAGAAAACACATGCAAGCATTTTTTCTTCCCAAAGAAGAAAGTACAGGATAGAATGAGCCCAATAGCAACTGGGAAGTACCTGTGAGAAGAGTAATAAAATCTCAGAGGAGGAGGCCCGAGGCTGTTAGGAAGGTGGTTAAAAGTAGGAAATGCTGACCTTTGTTTGGAAAGGAATGGAACTTTGATGTGACAGTTGAAGAAGTGCTAGAAGCAGTAGTCCTCAAAGGGTGGCCCCAAACCAAGCAGCATCAAAATCAGTTGGGTTCATTTCTCAAAGCCTCCCCTGATCTAGTGCAGGAGAAACTCTGAAGGTGAGACCCAAGAATCTGTGGCTTCACAAGCCCTCTGGAAGGTCCTGATGCCCAGAAGTTTAAGAATCACTGGTTTAGAAACCTGGAAAGATATACACAGGATGAGATGCAGACAGAGGAAAAGTACAGGTTTGCAGGACAAAAAAGGAAAAATCTAAGTATATTTTTAAATGATGGCCATTCATCCACCCAGGGCATATATTCGGCACGGTCTATGAGCTGGGCAATGTACAACATGCTGAAGCTGGGAAATAAAGTGGTTGTTTATCATAAATATTTACTATGTTATATATATTTTTTTAAGGTTTATTTATTTATTTGACAGAGATCACAAGTAGGCAGACAGGCAGGCAGAGAGAGAGGGAGAAGCAGGCTCCTTGCTGAGCAGAGAGCCTGATGCGGGGCTCGAACCCAGGACCCTGAGATCATGACCTGAGCCGAAGGCAGAGGCTTAACCCACTGAGCCACCCAGGCACCCTTATGTTATCTTTAGAATTCAAAACTGTATCTGACAAGCATTCCAAATTCTCAAGCTTCAACCAAGGCGTTTCATTAACTTTTTTTTCAATTTTAAAAAGACTCAAGGTGATTTTTAAATTGTTAAAGTTTTATTTCCTTTCTAAATAAAAAAATATATTGTTGAGGTATAATTGAAATCCAGTACAATGCCCAGCTTGATCAGTTACAAAAAAAATATGCATAATTATGTATCCTGTGATCCAACAGGAAATAGAACACTGTCATCCCTCCAGACAGAGCCTTCTTCGAGAAGCAACCATTGATTTGAGTTCCATCCCTGTAGATTAGGCTGCCTAATCTATAATTACATGTAAATAGAATCCTACAGTGTGTTAGTTTTTATGTGTCCTTGTGTTTGCATTGAGTTTCTATTTATGACATTGCAGATATTAGATATTAAGAATTCATTCCTTTTTTTTATTCTTGAGTAGTATTCCATTATGTGACTATTCCAGCATTTATTATCTACTCTCTTGTCAGTGGACACCTAATTGTGTCTTTTTGGGGGGTTATTATGAATTTAGACTTTATAAACATTTTTGTATAAGATATTATGGATATAGCTTTCAATGTCTCTTAGATAAATACCTAGGAGTGGAATGGCTGGGTCACAGGGCAAATGTATACTTAATTTTGTCTTTTTGCCTGACTTCCATTTACACTCCCATAGGCATTATGAGAGTTCAGACTGTTCCCCATCCTCACCAGCATTCCATGCTGTGAGCATTTTGCATTTTCACTGTTCTAGCATAGCAGCGTCTTGTGGGAGTTTTAATACACACTTCTCTTGTACTGACAATACTGAGTACTTTCTCATACATTTTTTGGCTTGGTCTCTCTTGTGTGGTATTTTATTTTTGTCTAAATTGAATTAGAAAGAAGGACCTTCTTTAAAAATGTTTGTAAGTTCTCAAGAGTACCTTTCATATGACTTTGATTAGGAAATCTAGACTAAGAACAGTAATGGATTTTCCTTCACATGTTCATAGTTCTGAAGGAAGAAATTATTGGAAAAAGCCATGTAGAAGATATTGCCAAAACCAATTTTTTTTTTTGGAAAAAGAAGCTTGAGATGTTTCAAAGTATCTGAAATGTTCCTTTATCACCCACCACTAAGTCCATAACTTATTTTGTTTGGAAAATAGACTCTTAAAAGAACATGTTGTTTTGTGATAATTCCAGCTTTACTGGATTGGTCCAGAATGCCAGGGCTGAGAAAACATTTATGGATTGCTTTCTTATTCCTTTTCATTTTCTTTAGTCTCTAATTTGAAAAGACCAAAGGGGAGTGGGAAGGAAGAAAGAAAATTTGGTGCTCTTGCAGCAAAATGCAGCTGATTTTAATACTAACTTGCTTGATAAATTCATGAAGCTTGATGATGTACAAATTCATAGAGAAAGCTTTGGACAGGATTTCTTCCCATCCTCAAACTTTCCTTCAATTTCACTTGGTCCTACCCCTTCATGAAAGCATTTACCTGACACTTCTTCTAATTGAGAGATGTTGTCGTAGTTTGATAGCATAAGGAGATAATAGGGAGAAGGAGAGGAGCAGATGATCTGGTAAAGCTAGGATATTAACAAGGCGATTGATTAGAAGACCCAAGCTACTCAAACCAGGCACTCACCTCTCCCTCACCCCCTTGCTCACTTACCCTGGCTTTGCTGTTCTCATCAAATTGATGGAGTCATGCCCATCAAATCACACTAGTCAAAATCATAATTCTGCTGAGAATAAAGTTTTCTTAAAAGATTCAATAATAGTATATCAAGATGCTCATAGACTTTCAAACCTGAACGAGTGGGACAAGCAAGGTACCCTTGACAGAAATAGTAGACTCTTAGGACATAAGTAAAAGGGAGGAATTCAGTGGTGATGCCTGAAAAAAAAGCACTTGGTGTACTTGTGGATTTCATTTACACATGGTTCCCTTCTTCCTAGTTAATACTGTTAATAAAGAACTGACATTTAAAGTCTTGCTGGAATCTGAGAAAAAAAATAGTAGTCCTTATCTAAAAGTTCTGGAACTACTGTTCACGTTATAAACACCCAAATAAATCCACCAGGAGTCTAAATCAATGTAATTAGAAGCAGATTTGGAGAAGTCTACCCCTACATGATGGTAGGTTGTTTTTTTGGTTTGTTTTGGTCTGTTTTAGAATTTCAACTAAACCAGTAGGTTAGAATAAGGAAAAGTAGCTATAGGAATGATCACTTGAAAACTGGAAGATTAATACGCTGAAGTTTTTCTTCAGGAGTACCTTTTTTAAAAAATCATTGGAATCTGAACACCCTTGGCTTGCTACAGAAACAGCAACTGATATCATTGTAATCCATTGGATTCTATATTGGCAACCGGTATAAAATCTCTGATTCTAAAAACAAAACAAAATAAAATAAACAACAAAAAAACAATCACTTCCCATTGATTCATAAAACCCCATTCATACTATGCAATGCAAATAATTTATTGGAAATATTTTTCTTTATACTTCGATTTTGGGCTTTCTGTATCCAAGTCCTGTGTAAACTGCTGTGCTTCATTTTGTTTTAAGTTTGGGAGTATCAATGGAGTATCATGTATCCTTCATGACACGTGGCTCTATTCCTGTTTGTACAGGGTCCATACTGGTATCCATGTTCTTAAATCCTTTTCTGGATTCGCATTGGAAAGTAGATGTGCTTAATTACAGTTTTTATTCTTAATAGACTGCAAATGGAAGAAGTACACCTTTGTCCTCAATATATCTAAGGTCCAAAGAAAGCTTTCCAAATTGGCCCAAATGAAGACTAAAACATGTTTTTAACCAGAATTTATTTCCTCATTAATAGCTTATTTTTTCCTTTCCATGTATCCAGCTTGCTAAAGTGTTCAAGATTGCTTTAGTTCTCACAGTTTGCCAACTTATTAAAGCTTTCTGATTTGTTTAAAAATCATTTTCAGGGGCGCCTGGATGGCTCAGTGGGTTAAAGCCTCTGCCTTTGGCTCAGGTCATGATCCCAAGGTCCTGGGATCGAGCCCTGCATCGGGCTCTCTACTCAGCGGGGAGCCTGCTTCCTCTCTCTCTGCCTGCCTCTCTGCCTACTCGTGATCTCTGTCTGTCAAATAGATAAATAAAATCTTTAAAAAAAAAATAAATAAAAAAAATAAAAATCATTTTCACATTTTTTAACACTTTCATATTGTACTTATTTACTGTTAATGTAGAACAAGGCGCCACTTTTCCGCCGGTCCAAAGCAGGTTCTTGCCTTTCTCTTTGTTCCCCCGCCCCCTAGTTTTTAAGAAGCAAATATTTTTATGTCTGTGCATTTTCATTTGATTGATCCCAATGCCTGTTTATCCATTTCTTAGTACTTTCCAAACTACATTAATTCTCCCATTCATTCTAACTTGAAACTTGATTGATTTTTTATTTGTCCTCTCCTATAGCTAATGATCCCCTAGGTTTTCTGGGTTCTTTCTTTGGGAAGCACTCACATCAATGTTTCTATTTCTCCATGTCCATGCCAATGATTCTAATTCAGACCCTTGTCACCTTACCCTGGTTCCTGGGGATCACATCCAAGCTACTCTTCCTGGCTCCTTTCCTACACCGGTCCATCTTGGCTTCTGCAGTGCCAAGGAAATTAAGATTATCCACCATCAGCTCATTCTTTCTTCACCCCAGATTCTTCTGCCTTCTCTTCTTTCCAAGGAACCCGTTTCTGACCTTAGACAGTGCTCATCATCCCATCCCGTCCATGCTTTGTAAATCTGCACTCTCACGATGCTACCCTCACTGCCACAGGGGTCCTGCCTCCTGCTTGCAAACATGTTCAAGATTTCCCTACCTCAAAACAATATCTGTTGATCTTATTCTCTCTTCCAAGCAATTTTTCAGTCTCTTAATCCCAGAACTTCTCAGACTGGTCTGCTCTCTTGTTCCCAGTTTCCATACCCCACACCCATAGTCTTTATT